GGCTGCTCACCGGTCTTACGGGTGCGTTGGACTTGATTATTTGAGTATCGTACGCGTTTTAGATAATCATAGCATTGCTCAGGGAGGGAAGCCCAGGGCTTGGGGGGGGTCCCCCCAAAAAGAGCTGTCCTGAGCTGGGTGCTGCGGGGTTTTCTGCCTTCCCCGCTGGCCCTAAGCCTTTAGGGTGCGAAAACACGCCCGGTGCATGTCTGCGTGGTGCCAGGGAGGGGTTTTGCTGCATGTGTGTGGCCGCTCCACCCACAAGCAAGCTGGAGCCGAGAAAGAAAAATCTCCCCTTTTTTTTTTTTGGTCAAAAACCATTTTAAAGTGACTTGCGTATAGAAACGCGAAGCGGCTGCTCTCCATCCTCGGGCAGAAATCGCTTTGGGGATCTTTTTCTACCCTGCTTTGCAGAAAAATGAAGCCAAGGCCAGGTTGGGTTTAACCTGCAGCTGCCCAGTGACCTGTGTCCCGGCAGGGACGGCTCTGGTGCGCGGTGTCGGATCGATCGGCCTCCGTGCGGGTTGAGTTTGGGGGAGACCTCGCTGATTTGGGGGAGTTTCTATATTAAACAGGGGCTGCCGCCATAATCTCGGTAAGATGGGGAGACTGGGGCTCAACCTTATTTCTCCTTTACGCCCAGAACTGGCTGCCATGAGCGCAGGGACAAAGCAAAGGACGGGTCCTGATGCTTCGGCATGGGGTGACGGTAATAAAGTTATAAAGTGTTATATTTTAAGAGATGCCGTGCCCTTGCCGGGCTCTCCCCCGTGCGCAGAGCCGCGGCAGTGAGTCACGGTCTCCCAAACACCGGGTTGTGACACTGTCAAATGATGGCGGCTGACGAATGAGCTGCTATTTCCAGGCTTCCTGCTAAATATACTTTCCCATCCCCAGTCCCCTCTGTAGTACTCTGCAAAAATTAAGACCTTCCCGTCATTAACGAGGGAAAACAAACCATGTTTCTGCCTCCTGCAGTCTTTGCCAGATGTGGGAACTTTGGCACGTGAGTGGCTTCAGGGCTGAATAGCTGGGGGAGAGTAGGGGGGTGGAGAAGGGGGGGAAAAAAAAAGCAGAATTTAGGTCTGCTTTTAGAAAGGGAATAAACAGGAGGGAGCGTGAGACGATGATAATCGTGTCGTGCTGGGGGACGAGCGTGTGGGTGCAAGCAGAGGGGCTGCGCCGGCCTCAGGGAGGCTTTTTTGTCAAAGCCAGCTGTTTACTTTTAAAGGCTTCGGTCCAAAGTTTGGTCTTTAGTTTACATACAGGGCCTGTGTCAATCCATACTGTGGATCAACAAGTTTTTCCTTCAATAAACACTCCGGCTGGTGGGGAAAGGAAAAAAAATAAAAAACAACCCTAAGTTGTGAGAAAAGCCTTCGGACAGCATTTTATCTTTAATTAGTTGGAGTTGTTTTTCAAGTCCTGGAAATATTCTCCCGGCTCAGACTGCAGAAACTCCCCCAGCCTCCCCTGCCAGAGGTTTGGAGATGCTTCCTTCCTCTGAAGCAGTTTTAACCCAAGCAGGACCGAGGGGATGGCTGCGTGCCTGGGGGCTCCTGGCCGGGGTGAAGGCAGCAGGGATCCTGCAAATCCTGCCAGGCTGAGGCTTTTGGGAAGGGAACTGGATTTTGGAGGGTGACCTGGTACTTCTCTGCAACGGATGCTCAAAAATTATCCCCTGCTCCTGAAATCCTTAGGGCCTGAGAGTCGCAGCGGGTAGATTTTGGGAGAGGTGCTAAGCTGCCTGGATGCACACGCTTAGAAGCCTTTATTAAAAGCCGCTTGCGTGCCTGCAAAGTGGAATTGGGATTTTGGTTTGGACTCTTCCAGCATTTCGTGGCAGGGAAAAAAGAGCAGGCAAACTCCAGGCTAGCAGGGATGTGATTTTTTTCCAGTCGCTGCATTATCGGGGAGTAGATGCGGAGTGGTGGATAGTAGATGCGTAGTAAATGCATAGTAGTGCTGGGATTGTTTGGCTTTATCCATTGCCCTGCCATTGAGGGCTGTGAAAAGGATGCGCTGATTTTATGTTTGGCCATGTTTCTCCATGAGAAACAGCCTGAGCCCTGTCCCAGCTGCTCTGAGCATCACAGGAAACTGTGATCTTGATGGATGCGGTGGGTTTTGTCTCTTCACCGTCCGGCTGCCCTTTGGTCCTCAAGTTAGCGTCATTAATCACCAGGAACCTGCTCGCTGCTGAAGATGCTGTTCCCTCTGTGTGGCTGTAGAGAGCCCCTGGGACAGCTGCTTCCTAAATTTAGCTGGTTCAGGCACATCCCTCATGCCAGGCAGGATGAGGCCGGGATGAGGAGCATCTCCCTCACCCCTTTGGGCAGTGGTGGGTTGCACAGAGGTCCCCTTAATACAGAGCAGGGAGCAAACGAGGAATATACAGCCTTTCCTATATGGTCCCCGCTCAGCTCGTCCCATGCAGAAAAATCCCTCCCACCCTATAAAAATCCCTACCCAAGTCATGGTGATGCGCTGGAGGATTTGGACTTCTCGGTGCCTTGAGAAAAGGCTGGAGATAAGAGGGGAGAAGCAAAGAAGCGGGTTGGGGAGGTGGCCTCACAGCATAACCAAAAAAATACCGTAACAGCTGGAGAGGTGCAATTCTGCCCCTGCCTGCAGCAGTTCTGCAGGGGCTCCGGCTCTGCTGGCTCCCTGCGAGGCAGGACTGAGCCTGGCGCTTCCTTCCCCATATCAGCATCTTGTTTCAGAGCAGACAGCGAGCATCTTGTGCCACTGAATAATCCTCACATTGATCTTCCCATTACAAACTTCTCCTTTCTCTGGCTGCCTGCGAAACTCTCAACGTGAGCTCTAAAGCTTTGCCATCCCTGGTGCTCGTTGCTCCTTCGCGAGCCGAGGAAACCTGGTTTCTGCCTTGCAGGGGAGCTGGGGGTGGTGTTGCTGGAGGTCATGGTTCAACCGTTCCCTGTTTTCCAGGAGGTTTAAGCTGCTCGGTGGTGTTTCTGCCTCTGTACTCTACGCAGCACTGTATAGCAATGCGTGCACTGCGGGTGCTCCCAGTTGATGTGGTGGAGGAGGTGCTGTGGTGCATATGGCGACAGCATGAGATTTTTGGAGCTTGATGTTCACCTGATGGAGCTCAGTTATGACCTTGATCAAGTCACCTATCCCTCCATGCCCGCCGGTAAAGAGCGTGTTGTGAGCAATGGCAAAAAGATGCAGGTCCCTCCATGGACGTGCAGGGTGTCCTTCACCTTGGAGGATGGAGGGATGTCACCAGGGTCCTGCTCAAGGTGGTTCATCCTGTGCGTTTTGTGTTCCGTTTGCCTCGGCTGCTGGAAACCACAACTTTTTTCCTATCTGAGCTGAGATGTCCTGGTGGTGGTGGCAAGGAGGTGGAGGTGACCCGGCCAAGGGTGTGCGGTGTGATCAGGACGCCGGTGGCCTCACGGCTGGTGAGTCTCGGAGGACAGAGCTAAGCCAGACAACAAGTGCGTTGTTCTGGGTTTCTTGTGCGATTGTAGCGAAAGCATGGAAGTGTAAGCGCTCGCAAAATGAGATGCAAGCAGTGTTTTGAGCCCTTGGAAAGCCCGGGGACCCACCTCTGAAAATGCTGCTTTGGCCATTAAAGTCCTGCCGGTGCCCCCAGGAGAGCGTGTGCAGGGACTGCGCCAGGGCGAAGGGTGAAATCCTGCACGCGTTCAGACGTTTCCGTGGTCAGTGTGAACACTTCCCGACTGGTTGCAGGAGAAAGGAACACCTTTGATGCCCGAGAGGAGACCTTCCCTCCATATAAGGTCTGTGAGATGTCCAGATGGGGAGGTTGGATGCTCGGAGGTTCAAATTTGGCTCCTGGAGCTGCTGCTGTGGCCCTTGGTGAGTGGCTGCAGGTGTGTGCCTTGGGTTCCTCGTCCATCAGGTGGAGGAGGGAAGACGTTCTTCTCTGGAAGTCGGTCTGTCGGGATGCCTGCCTATGTCCAGGAGGTTACATTTATCTTAGGCTGTAAAAAATTTTATGTAGGCTTTAGAAAACGACCCGCTAGCTCTCCGTAATGAAAGGTGGAGAGGTGAAGGGGTGCAGAGGTGGCCCCTGAAGCTGCTGGGGGTGCTCTGGCCCGCGGGAAGCAAAGGCAGGTGTGGAGATGGGCCAAAGCGTTGGTTGATCCTCGAGTGGATGAGGGAAACCTTCCTACCACGTCCTCCAGAAAAGAAGATGAGGAGAGTCTTTGCAAACCATGTTGGGGCTGAGCACCGTGCGAGCATTGCTCCCCATCCTGGGGATGCTCCAGGATTGTTTTCTCGGACCCACAAGTCTGGCTTATGGCCCCACCGGCAGATTAGGAGACTTCATTTGGAGATGATGCCTTGTTTCCAGCTGTTTGCACCTCTGGATATCAGCCAGGTACTTGGGTAGGATGTAAAACCTTCGGTGGCTGCTGCCATCGGCACATCTGTGGCACGGTTGCCCGTCCCTGTGGCATGATGGCCACGGCCGGCTTCGTGCATTTGTTTCGTGCCCTGCGCCAGCTTGTGACAAGGTTTGGATGTAAAGTCCAGGTCCCGGTTGTGCTGTACCGCTCTGGGATGAAGCAACTTTGCTTTCCTAGCCAGCAAGGTTTGCAAGAGCTAGAAGTGTCTCCTTAACCCAGCTTGAGGCCAGGTGATGTGCTTTTTCCATTACTACCCCAAACTCTGCTCGTGGTCTCCATCTCGCTCGGCAGAGCGTTTCTTGCACCTACTCCTCCACAAGCAGAGTACAACATGTGGCGTTTCTTCTTTTAAGTGGGGGAAAAAAACCAAATAATCCCCAAACATCATGAAAACACACCATGGAGTTTGCTATCCCCCAGCCAAGGCTGCAGGAAGATGGGCAGCGCTGCCGGCGCCGTCAGAGCGGAGCCGCCGGCCGGTTGCTCAATGCTCGTGGGGGCGGGACGGGAACACTTTTGGCAAAGCCCCCATGTCCTTCCCGCAGCTACGTCCCGCAAGATGTGAAGCAATATTTCCAGCCGGCTTTTTAATAGCCTGCAGCTCTGAGACGGTTGCAGCGACGTCTGCGTGAAACGCGGCTGGTCTCCATCGGCGTTCGCTGGGCGCGGGATTGTTTTGGGCTGGTTGCATATGAGGCTGGGCACTTGC